ACAGCAATACAAATCTTTTTTTTTTTTTAGTTCTCGGCAGACACAACATCTTTGTTTGTATGTGGTGCTGAGGATCGAACCTGKGCCGCACGCATGCAAGGCGAGCGCGCTACCGCTTGAGCCACATCCCCAGCCCCAGCAATACAAATTGACATATGAGAACCACTTAATATTGCAAATGACTACAAGTKGTTTGATTCCTTTTATAGAAAATTCAGAAACATGTAAAATTAAGGGATATATCATCTAGCCATACATAGAAAGTAGTACATATTCAGTGGTACATACAGTGACATAATGGATATAGTTCATTTCCTTAATAATTTAAAAAAATTTATTCAGCAGAAGATTACTTCTCTGTCAGCTTTTCATCCTTAATCTTTAGCCTCAACAGTCTTGCTACATACAAACTTCTTTCTCCATTTTGAGAAGAAATGTAAGAGGACCTGGAAAAGAGATTCATTTGTTCTGGTGATATAGGACTCAAATTTTCATCTTTCATGGTGGGCTATAATAGAAATAGGAAATAGTATGTTTTCTTTCCAACTTTGGTTGGAAGACAAATTAAAAATAGCTTTCAGGGTCAGGGTTGTGGCTCAGTGGTAGAGCTCTTGCCTAGCATGCGAGAGGCACTGTGTTCCATCCCCAGCACCATGTTCCATCCATGGCACCACATAAAAAAAATAAACAAATAAAATAAAAGTATTATGTCCAACTACAACTRAAAATATTTTTAAAAATAGTTTTCAGCTATTTTATAAATATTTTCAGCTCTAAATTGTATGTATGTTTATGGTGTGGTGGTACATGCCATAAAAACACATACAGTTTTTTWAAAAAAAAATGTTAAAAGGGTTGGGGATGTAGATGTAGCTCAGTGGTAAAGAACCCCTGGATTAAATCCCAAGTACTGCAAAAGAATAAAAATACCTTTTGTTTTTCATCTCTATTTATTTGGAACTTCATTGAGAAAAACAAGTGGATAAGTCTAGTAAAAGTTATTTCAATACAATTTTAAATCTTATCAAATAAAGCTTATGAATAGCTTGAAAGTTAGGTGATGTAAGCAGAAGAAAAAGGTAAAAAAATACATTATAATGAAATAAATTGCAGTGTACCCATTAAGCATATTGCTGCAACATCTAAAACTGACTCTGACCAGGCAAAAAAATAATTTTAAATAAAGAGGTTCAGTGGTTGACAAAATTTTTGAGATGACTAGAGACACAAATCCATACTTAGCTTACAGGAACAATTCTAAAACCATATCATGTAAAACCTGTCCCAGCAACTCAGAAAGCCCTAAAGAAAATTGACATTGTATTAAAATTACCCTACTAATGTGACATCTGCACTGGGGACTCTGTAACTACAGAAAAATTTACTCCATATTGAAAAYCACCTAAAGTAATTCTTCATGGAGCCTTCTTTTCAGATTACTTCCAAAATGAACTTTTTCTACAGGGACATCAGATTGGAGATGCTTAAGTCCTAGCTGCCGGGGAGGCTGGGGATTTTATTTTGTGGGTTCTACTTTGGTTGACAAAGTACTTGTGGTCACAGTGGTGGTGCACACCTATAATCCCAGCAGCTCTGGAGGCTGAGGCAAAAGAATTGCAAGTTCAAAGCCAGTCTCAGCAATTTAGGGAGGCCCTAAGTAATTTAATGAGATCCTGTCTCAAAATAAAAATGGGCCAGGTGTGTGGCTTAATGGTAAAGTGCCCCTGGGTTCAGTTCCTGATACAAAAAAAGAAAAAAGAAACAATGACAAAGTACTGTTGAGGCAAGAAATTAATCAAATACCAGTGGGCATTAAAAACATGCTAAGGCTTCAGAAAACATTTAAAAGTATAGTTTAATGAATTCATAAGCCAGTGACAATCATTATCAAGTATAATTTGCTGTACATAATTGTATGTGCTATACTTCTATATGACTGGCAGCACTGTAGGTTTGTTTACATCAGTATCACCACAAACACGGGTAATGGATTATGCTGACTTTACAACAATTACGTCACTAGGTGATAGGAATTTTTCAAACTCTATTATAATCTATGGAATTACTGTTATATGTATAGTCTATCATTGACTCAAACATTGCTTTGTGGTTCATGACTATTAACACTGAAGTTTGGCCAATAATTGTCCATATTTCTTTAAAATTGTCCAAATATTGCCAGACTCCTATGGACATGTAACTCTGTCTTCAGAAGTCAGGTATACAATGAGGTACCACCTCACATCCATAGGATGGCTATTAAAAAACAGAAGATCAAATATGTTGGTGAGGATATGGAGAAATTGGAACACCTATGCACAGCTAGTGAAAAAGTAAAATGATTATAGCTTCTGTGGAAACAGTATGGCAGTTCCTCAAAGGAATTAAAATGTTATGTGTTTTAGCAATTTCACTTCTGGTATATATCAAAAAAATTTGAAAGTGCCATCTCAAAGAGGTATTTGTATAACCATGGTTATAGCAGCGTTATTACAGTAGCCAAAAGGTGAAAGCAACTTTTGTGTGTATTGACAGATAAATGAGTGATCAAAATATAGTAAATACATGCAATTGAATATTGTTAAGCCATAAAAAGAAAGATTCTGTCACATGCTACAACATGAATGAACCTATAGGACATTACCCTAAGTGAAATAAGCTAGTTTCAAAAGGACAAAGAGCATATGAACCCACTTATATGGGGTCCCTAGAGTGGTCAGAATCATAGAGACCAAAAGCAGAGTGGTGGTTGCCAGGGACTGAGGGTCAGGAGGGTGGGGAGTTATTACAGAGTTTTAGTTCAAAAAGATAAAGCAGTTCTGGAGAGGGATGTACTTAATGCCACTGAGCATACATAAACTTTAAAATGATTAAGGTAATAAATTTTTATGTGATTTTTAACACAGTTTTTAAAAACTATTTTTAAACAGTCAAGGAAATGTAAGAAAAGGGTTAGAAAGACACACATATACTTCAACCAAACTTGGCCATTACTGGTTTACCTTTGAGGTAAAGAAGTTGGGAAGATGAAATTGGTTAGGGATGAGTATGAGGTAGTCACTTTACATCCTTTTGCGCTTTGAAGGTGTTTTTTTTTTTTGGACTACCATTCTTGTACTACTATTAAATTTTCTTAATTGAGGAAAAAGACAACAAAAAAGTCTTCCACAAAAAACATCTGATTAGAGGAGGTAATACAGATGATTTTCATTTTCTTCCTTACAGTTTTTATATTGTCTGAATTTTTAAAATTAGTGTATAGCAGCACTATTTATGAAACAAAAATATCTATGTTGAGATTTACAAAGTAGAAATGTAAAGGATTCTATTCCCTCCTGCCTTAAAAATTAACAATTTTCTAAACCATTAATTCCAACATTCTGATTATGATATACATACACAATAATTAGAAAATACCTTTTAGGGCTGGAGGTGTATGTAGCTTAGTGGTAGAATACTTAACTGGCATGTACAAGGCCCTGAGTTTGATCACCAGCAGCACCAAAAAGAAAAACTTTAAAATTTTAAATGAAATGCTTTTATATATCATGTCATCCTTATTTGTTAAAGTAAAATATCTGAGGCATAGATATTCCTAATGTTAAATAAACTTATTTTGTAGATTTTAGGTCCAAAAGAATATTTTAATATTTATTTTTTAGTTTCAGGTGGACACAATATCTTTATTTTTATGTGGTGCTGAGAAACGAACCCAGTGCCTCATGCATGCTAGGTGAGCATGCTACCCCCCAGCCCCTCCAAAAGAATTTTTACAGACCTTAAAAATCTTTTTTTTTTGGTCCCTAGTACTGGAGATTAAATCCAGAGGCACTCTATCACTGAGATAGATACACCCTCTACCTCAGAGCTATTTTTATTTTTTATTTTGAGACAAGGTTTCACGAAGTTGCCCAAGCTAGTCTCAAAACTTGGAATCTTCCTGCCTCAGCCTCAAGAGTCATTGGGATTATAGGGGTGTATCACACACTTGGCTAAAAATATGAGTGTATTATCAGCAATGCATATATAAAACATGGTATTATAATCCTTTTGAGGCATTATACCTGTAAAGGCAAAGGAAGAAACTAATGTGTTTTTAATATTATGCAAATGTAAGTGTCAGAATTTTTCTTCTTAGTGTCAAACATTTTTTGGTTTCTTGGGAAGAGCAGAGTCTACAATAGATGGGAAATTCTGGAGACAAGACAATGCTACAGAGTCTGAAAGTGCTAAATTGAATGCCTACCTTATCCTCACGYATCTTTGGCTCCTTCATTTTTAGCACTGTGTAGCATCCTATGTGTAAATATACCTCAGTGTATTGATTTTACTGTCAATAGACTTTTGAATTTTTTCCAGTTTTGTGCTATTAATGCAGTCCTACCAATAAACATACAGCAAGATTTTTCTTGGATGTATACTTAATAGAGGCATTTCTAGGTCATAGAGTATGTGTTTTCACGTTTTTCAAGCAATACCAAATTATTTTCCAAAATGGTCGGACCAAGGGCTGGGGATGTGGCTCAAGTGGTAGCGCGCTTGCCTGGTATGCATGCAGCCCGGGTTCGATCCTCAGCACCACATACCAACAAAGATGTTGTGTCCGCCGAGAACTAAAAAATAAATATTAAAAATTCTCTCTCTCTCTCTCTCTCTCTCTCTCTCTCTCCTCTCTCACTCTTTCTTTAAAAAAAAAAAAATGGTCGGACCAATTTTCACTGCTAAAGGAATACATGAGAGCCATGACTAACTTGCGTCCTCATACTTGRATTGTCATTGTCTGATATGCTGATTATATGTGGTAGATATTTCTCTCAGTTCGTGTTATCCAAAATTCCTAATTAAACAGACTGACTTCATAGTAAATGTTAAATGGCATGATAAAGCTTCCCATGCTAGTAGTGATCTTATATTAAAAACAAATGTAAAATGTAACAGTTTAATTTCTTTACTGACCAAGATTATATATATATTTTTCTTGTTGTATCCTCTCTTTCTAGAAATAGCAAGCGAAGAGGAATCTCCAATACCTTCCTCCTCTCATTTAAACAGTGAAAGCTCTATTCCAGAAGAATTGGGTAGCCCTGCTGTTATATACATACCATCTGAATCTATTGTACAAGAACAGCCAGGGAGTCCAGATCACAGTATACTTACTGAAGAAATGGTTTTTTCACAGGAACTAGAATCCTCTACTTCTCCTAGTAAACATGTAAGTCAATGTGTGTGTGTGTGTCTATATCTATATATCTTAAAGCTCCTTTAAAAAGAAACTTGTCTAAAAGGTTTTTATTAACAGTTATATTATTCCTGTTAACAACAGCATTGAGGAGTTAGAGGTGTAGCTCAGTGGTAGAGCACTTGCCTAGCACACGTGAGGCCCTGAGTTCAGTCCTCAGCACCACATAATAAATAAATGAAATAAAGGTATTAAAGAAAAAATAACAGCATTGACTATCRCCCATACTTACAGTATATAGAATCTAACATTTGAATAGAAATAAAGCTTTTAATTTACTCCTATAGATTTACAGATATATGAATTATAGTTTTAGGGACAGTTACAAAATTATATTCTGTCAAGTCTGTTAATATTTGAAGGGATAGGAACCTCTAAAGTCTATAAAAAAATAATATGTAAGAACAGCACAAGTTCTTTCTAAAATCTGGTTTTTGTCTTAGAGATAATAAGATTTTAAATCATACTGGAGTGCCTTTACTATAATTTAGTTAATAATTGCTAACTCATAATCAGAATAAAATTAATGATTTCATCTCTTTAAAATAGATCTGAAATGATTGGTTCTAAATTAGAATAATGGCCTTTATTAGAATTAGATTATCTGTATTATCCTTAGTTTTGTACTTCAAAGAAAAAGGGGCTGATAAAAAATTCAAGATAGAAACATATTGGGCTGGGGATGTAGCTCAAGCGGTAGCGCGCTTGACTGGCATGTGCGGGGCACTGGGTTTGATCCTCAGCACCACATTAAAAAATAAATAAATAAAGATATTGTGTCCACCGAAAACTAAAAAATAAATATTAAAAAATTATCTCTCTCTAAAAAAAAAGATAGAAACATATTTTTGGTTTTATAAAGTGTATAAAGAAGTTAGCATAACAATTAGATATTTAGTTAACATATACATAGTTAGTGCCTATGAGTTTTAAAAAATAGAATATCCTTTTTAGAATCTTCATTTTTAATATGGATGTGAAGAATTATCTGCATGCCCTCTGTTGAAAAATGAGTTAGATTCATGTATGTTGTATAGCACCTGAAAGGTTTGAAGGAAAAATATTTTTATTCAATGAAGAGCTAATTCCTTGTTATGATGAAAATACTGTATTATAATATTCTTGGGTACATATTTGAAAAGAGTTTTAAGACCTTTAAAAGCTTTTAATTAACTATCATGTTGGTCATTTTAAAATTTATAATATGACCAATAGATTTCTTGTATAGATAATTTACTCATAGCATATTTCCTACCTTCTAGGAATTTATGACCAAACTGCATTTTGACACAATTCTATACAGCATCATTATTGAGGTTCATGATAGCTACAAACTTATTGAATATTAAAAATGAAATTTTTTTTTTGCTCACAGGAAAATATATCTAGGAAATTAAAACTAGTAGTGTCTCAAAGTGTTTTTTATACTGAAAGCTAATATTTATTGAGTGTGATTTAACTAGTTCCAGACAGCATACTAAATACTTTACCTGGATTATCTCATTTAATTCTCATATGATCCTATAGACACAATTATAATTTCTACTCTGAAGATTAGCAGGCTAGGAAACTTGTCTAAAATGAAAGGGSTAGGAAGTGACAGCATGGAATCAAATCAGGCATTCTCACTTCTGTGTGATGTCAGAGTAGAAATTTTATCTTTTGTAATCGTCTTTTGTGGACAATCTTATTATGCTCTTTTTTCCCCATTCCTTTCCTCCCATAAAATTATTCCTTAATTAGTATTTTTAGATTAAATTAAAAGATTAAGGAAGGTAACGATCACAGTAAGCACTTCTAATTTATTATAAATTTTTTTAAAGCTTGCTTTCCCCACCCCTGCATAGGAAAAATCAAGGGGTTTTTTGTTTGTTTGTTTTGGGTTTTTTTTTTAAACAATGCTGGGGAGTGAATCTAGAGCCTTATGCGTGCTAGGCAGGCACTGTACCACTGAGCCATRTCCCCATCTTGAGAAATTGAGGTCTTAATCCATTTGTAGAATTTGTAAACTTTTTATGTCATAGTTATTTAAAACTCTTTGTAAGACTGATCTTACAAGTACTAATGATGGCACGGAACAACTGGAAGTCTCATCTAGTACTGGTGGGAGTGTAAATGGTACGATCATTTTTTAAAAATATATATATATTTTAGCTGTAGTTGGAAACAATACCTTTATTTATTTGTTTGTTTATTTGTATGTGGTCTGAGGATCGAACTTAGTGCCTCGCATGTGCTAGGTGAGCACTCTACTGCTGAGCCACAACCCCATTCCCAGTACAATCATTTTAGAGATCATTTAGCAATGCCTTTAAAAATTAAACATGCACATGTCATATAACCCATCCATTCAACTCCAAGGTATTATCCTAGAGCACTGATAATGTATATGTCCACACAAATACTTAAGAATGCTTTTAATAGTGAATGGATAATTAATTGGAATGAATTGATACAYGCTTCAACATGGATAAATCTCAAAATAATTATACCGAGTGAAGGAAATCAGWCAAAAATGAGTATAATTTTATTTATCTAACATTGTGGAGAATATGAACTGTAGTGACAGGAAGCAGATCAGTGACGGCCTGGAGATGGGGCAGGGGTAAAAAAGGAAAATCACAAAGGAGCATGAGAAAATTTTGGGGTGGGATGGATATGTTTATTATTTTGATCATGGCAGTGGCTTCTGGTGGGTACATATGTAAAACATATCAAATTGTATATTTATTGTTTAAGAATTGCACCTCAATAAAGTTAAAAAACAAAATGTAAAAAAATAAAATAAAATTCTTTGTAAATATTAACTTTAATTGGCTGGTATCTCAAATTTTAAATAGAATTCTACATCCATATCACAAATAATTTCTGTTTGGTTTTCTGTTTATATAGTCACCTCACAAAAGCTGCACATCTGTGTCAAAACAGGAGTCTAGCAAAGGAAGTCATAGGACTGGAGGAATATGTCGTCTGCCTGCCAAATCCCAGCAACACTGTTATAGTTGGTCAGATGAGTCATTATCTATGACACAGTCAGGTAAGACTAATTATGAGGAGTTTGTTTTCTTTGTACTACATTGGAGTTCCTCTTTCATAAATTTTGTCTAACCATATGCTAGTACACTCTTATCCTTTGTAGCATTTGTAAGGTTTTTTTACTTGCCAAGATTAAATCATATAGTTCCTTGTTTGWCATTGATAATTATATCCCTGTTTCGCAAAAATAAACTGTTTTATTCTCTTGTATTAGTGGACATTTATTCCATCAAACATTTGTTCAGTTTTTTTCTGTGTCAGGCACTACCTGTATATTTCCATAATGCTCTGTACTTCAGCATGTCATCCCAGACAACACATACTGTAATCAGCCATTGCTCCGCAGTCTCCCCTACTAGAGTATGAATTCATGAAGATGAGAGTCTATTTTATTAATAACTGTAGTGCCAGGACCTCTTGCATCGCATGCGGTAGGTATTTATTAAATATTTCTTGAATAATGTAACCATGATGGAACAGGATGGCACAAGTCTCATTTGAGGAAAGTAGCTGGGTGTGGTRATGCACACCGGTGATCCCAATTAGTCGGARGCTGAGGCAAGAGGATCACAAATTCAAGGCCAACCTCAGCAATTTAGTGAGAGATCCTGTCTCAAAATAAAGAGGACTGAGTGTGTGGCTCAATGGTAGASWCTTCTGGGTTCATTCCCCAGTTCTTAAAAAAAAGGGTGGTGGTGGTAATAGAAACAATAGATTGCAAATTGGCAATGGGGAGTACTGTTTTCCATAACCTCCACCCACAAATCTCTGTAGCATAATTACAAAAGAATGAACAACCTTTACTCTAGAAGACTTCAAGGAGTACRTTGACCTCAGGAAGCATATAAAGACAATGCTCTGTTTATATAAAATGAAGAAGAGTAATATTGTATTGATTATATTGAGCTCATTTTTAGTTTTATTTTGAGAATAGACATTTATTAAGRAAAAACTGGAGGGAAAAACTTTGCAGGGATGGGTCTTTGATCCTGAGCTTTCATTTTCCATGTTTCAGAAAATAGTAAATCATGACATTTTCTCACATCCATATTCAATAGATCGCCTGAATTATTTTGAGTATCTACATAATATTTCAAAAGGTAGATGTACTATAAATATTTTCCTAGTGATGGTCAGTTAGATTTTCTCAAGTTTTTCACATTTRCAAATAGTGTAGTAATTAATACATATATATAATTTAGTAATTAATATATATACACATATAAATAATGTTGTAATTAATATATCTGTAAAAAACAGTTTGGGTCAAGCAGTTGAAGAATCTTGTCTTTCATATTTATCTTTGGAAAGTTATTAATATTTTTATATATTTTACATATCTGGTGAATAGTTATTGCTAGTTGAATAACATGTCAGTAGAGAAATTTGATATGTACTTGAAAACATGGCTTCTTATCTTGGATCTGTTACTTGTAACTTTCTTTCCATACCAGGTTATCTGTTTCTATCTGGAGCAATGGAATAAAGTTCTAACTACCCTGAATGAGTTCTGTACTAAGCATTAATGATAATATATGTAAAATACTATTTTATTGATAAAACTTATCCAAGTAAGACTAATTTTAGAAAAATAGCTCTGAGATTTCTAAACTAAAGGTGCATTCTACCTCTTCATGATGAAATAATTATAGACAGTCTTTATAAACTTTAATGTGGTGGGGTTATATAATACCTTTACTTAAGTGATGGAGAGTTTGTTATCAACTAAGTAAATACAGTTAGCATATGAGCAGTAATCAAATTATTTTGTCCAGATTATTTTTGTCTTGATGTGTTTAAACAAACTAAAGTATCATTTGCCTGCCACTTCCCATTTCTTCCACCTCCCAAAAAAATCTTACAGAGAGATTTCCATAAAAACAACATAGTATCATTTAGAGAGCTGGCTTGGGTTAATTATTTTTTTTTCTTAGAGATTCTCTTAGGTGTTATTGATTATTTTTAAAAAACACTATGTCTTGTATGTGTGAGGCACTGGGTTCAATCCTCAGCACCACATAAAAATAAACAAATAAAATAAAGGCATGCTGCCGACCTACAATCAATCAATCGATCAATCAGTCAATACTATGCTGCAATACTAAATTTAGGTAGATCACAATGTA